TTCCTATAAAGTTTGGTTTGGTTCATTTCTTTACTTCTTGACAGGTTTAATAGATTTTCTTGTTTACAAATGTGTTCATTGATGTGACAAGTCAGATTTGTTTAACCAGAAGGAATTAATGTACAATAACTAATGTTAAGGTTCGATTTATTATATTTCCATACATATTTCTCTAACTCATTTTTCTTTTTGTTTGTGAATTCAATTTTGGATCATTCACTTGCAGTATGGCTTCAGTAGTTGCAGATTTGTTGCTTATTAATTGACAAAAGTTCTGCTTGTTTCATAAATTAATTGTGATTCTATGGTTCTATTATTTAACATCACTTCTATAGCAAGCTTTCTTTTCTTTCTACTGGATTTATTTCTGGACCAAATTGCTGCTCTGCCATCAGGTATGAATCTGAATTTGAATTTATTAAAGTATTACAGTAGGGGTCGACCAGCACAAAGATGGGTACAAGATATGACACCTTGGACAGAAAAATGGAGAAAGCTAGCGAGAGACAAGTTTTTTGTTTTGTTTTTCAGACACAGCAAGTCTGTAAAGGACTTTCTACATGAAAATTACAGCCTCTTTTGTTACCGAAGACCTTGGCGAAGTTAAGAATAGTCATAGGAGGCTACTAAAGATCAGGTTGGTCATGAAGTTGGCTACTACATCTCATAACCATCTGCTAAAAAAAGGCAGAACAGCTGTAAACAAGGCATAGCGCAAGCTGACTGAGGGTCTGTTCTACACTGATCATTAAAGGACAAAAGCAGACTCTTATAATTGAAACTGGCCTTCGGGTGGGGTTTTTGCAACGAAAAACATAAGTATTTCTAAGCATTTATTATTGGTAGCTTTTCCACCTAAATACAATTGTCTTCCAGTACACCTTTAAGAGGAAAAGCCAGATTTTTCCAAGTCTATAGATTTTACCTGATCACTTGGGGCTTTCTTGCGTGTCACTGTTGAGCTAAGAAGTTAGATATCTAGTGTCTTACTGTTTCAAAAGTTACCTCCTTGTGATCTAAAGTTAACATTCCTGGATGTATTCCTTGCATACAATCAATTGAGCTGAGCTGCAGACATCTAGTGGATAATTTACCGTTTCAAGTTACCTCCATCTGATCTAAAGTTAACATTCCTGGATGTATTCCTTGCACACAATCCTTTGAGCTGAGCTGCAGACATCTAGTGGTTTATTTACTGTTGCAAAAGTTACCTCCATCTGATCTAAAGTTAACAACCCTGGGTGTATTCACTGCACACAATCATTTCAGCTAGGCTGCAGAAATCTAATCTTACCGTTCCAAAAGTTACCTCCATCTGATGCTCAGTTAACATTCTTGGGTGCATTTCTTGCACACATTAATTTTAGCTAAGCTGCAGAAATGTAGCAGATAATTACCGTTTTTTTGGAAGGTACCTCAATCTGCTCAAAAGTTAATATTCCTTTATGTATTCGTTTGAGTGCTGTAATCTAATGGATAATTAACGCTTTTTGAAAAAATAAAATTTACGTCCATCTGCAGCAGACATGCGTATCCACTGCAGCCAATCTCAACTTTGCAGACGGCACCAGAATATTAACATATTTGTTTGCTATGGTGGACTATTTTATTTCGAACTAATATCTTCAAGTCTATGCCGTGTAGGGTTGGTAGTCCTGTCTCTCCACAACCTTCTGTCTCATTTACTTTGAATCACTTTTGCCACAGACAATCTTTCCTGCCATGTCAAACTGTCCAGCATCTTTTTTTTTTCTGTCTCCGTTTACCTCTTTCCCCCTTCAATTTTCCCACCACCACGATATATTCCAGTTTTCTCTTCATGTCATAAGAATGTAGACTGCCTCCTAATATGGGCAGTCTGTTCTTTCCATGAGTCTTATTTCTTGCAAGACATCTTTATTCTTTTTATATGCACAGGGTGTTCTCAACATTTGTCAACAAAACCAAATCTCTGCCACTACTGTATGTCAACAAAACCATATCTCTGCCACTACTGTATGTCAACAAAACCATATCTCTGCCACTACTGTATAACAAATCCATATCTCTGCCACTACTGTATGTCAACAAATCCATATCTCTGCCACTACTGTATGTCAACAAAACCATATCTCTGCCACTACTGTATGTCAACAAAGCCATATCTCTGCCACTACTACAGAATTTTCCACTAGTACACAAGTTAATACTGATGCTTGTTGGGCTTTTTCCCATGCTTTGAGATAAAATCATAATTTTGTGGGCAAAAATTTGTCTTTTCTTAATCTTTGATAGGACAGACAAGGTCCAAAACATTTAAAACCAGTTTTCTTCATACTGCCCCAATGCAATAAACGATGGGCTCACATAACAGTTTGTTGCATGAGTTTCTAATCTTACGTTTGCAGTGGCTTGTACACGCTTTGCATTTAATTACTTAAAAATTAAAAATTAAAATTAACAAATTGTTTCTTTGTGCAATACTGTGTATTGAATGCTGCATAATTTGTCTCTATATAACATAATGAGCTGATATGGAGAGATACATGAAAATGAGCGGCAACATGTAGGAGAAATACAAGGATGGAGGGAAATGGTGGAAATAAGTTAAAATAATTGAAATTATGACTGGGTAAATTCCTTGGAAGTAAAGCTGGTTGGTGTGATGTTGACATCACCAGTCGAATGCCAATAAGTATTTTGTTTAAAAATTCTAGTGGCAAAAGTGCTTATTTTTACCTGATAGTATTGATTGTGGGAGTTGCACTCACACACAAAAGTTAGTTGCGTATCATTGATAGGACATTGCAGAACCAACCACAGCATGTTTTGGCTGTCTGTGACTTCACTGTAGTTTGCCATTGCTTTTTGAACGTTTGGACCTCAAACAACAGAGTAAACAAATTGCACGGTGGCCTGCTGCTAAATCGCAGGAATCCAACCACCTACCTCGACACTGCTAAGTGTGTTCGCCAAGCCCATGCTACAGATGCTGATAACGTTTGGAGTAAAATGATGAAAGTAACCAATGAGGTTCAGTTAGTGCAGCGTTTCTTAACCTTCCTAATGCCGTGACCCTTTAATACAGTTCCTCACCCCCCCCCCCCCCCCCCCCCCCCCCCCCCCCCCCCCCCCCCCCCCCCCCCCAGAATAAAATTATTTTTTTTTGCTACTTCATAACTTCAGTGAACGTTTTCCCGATAGTGACCCCTGTGAAAGGTTCATTCGACCTCCAAAAGGGGTCACAACCAATAGGTTGAGAATGCTGGGCTAGTGTATCAGTTATCTGTAACAGAACCTGTAACAATGAAAAAGAGGTTAGGTAACTGTGCTTCCAGCTTTACAATAAACCAGTCACTCCATAGTGCTCCTCCCCTGTGCCATGAAAAACCACACAGAATGCCCCCTCCTAACAGACAGACTGCAGTTCCAGCAAAGCCACTAGCATACACACACACATTAAATACACATGCAGCCATCAGAAGTGCCAACACAAAACCGTCTAGCACTAGAAATGCAGTTAATCATCGATGGAAGTAGCTATTCAACAAATCAGTAGTTGCACCTTAATGCACTTAACACAGAAGCTGGCTGATGAAACTGTATACTTTGTCCACATCAGGAAACTGCCATCACTAACCATTGTCAGTAGCAAACACTTGCCAAAGCTATAAACAATAAGCCTGCCTATCTGCCATATTAGATGAAGTAAATATCAGGTAAAGAGCAGCCAATAAGTCTTGTGGCAATGAGCGCGGCATTTAGCATATCATCGCCTGCTTGCTATGACTTCATGTAACCATCACCAGGTAGCTAAGTGGGTCACTCAACCCGTCCCAGAGATGTCCCACAGTCTTGCCGAAATAAAAAAGTTAACATTTTTTTTAAAATGAAGAAAAAAGTTAATTTATTTGCATTGTAGCACCGTGGATAACAAGGAGTGAAAAAAAAAAGTCATTCTGTGATATATGCAAAATAGCATAGTATGGTAATACACACAAACTATAGACTACAAACTAAACTAAATAAAAAACGTTAAAATATCATACAGGAATGTTTTGAAACTGATGACAGGGAAGCTAAACAGAACGGAATGCTAAGGTTTATAAACAAATTATAGACAAAACAAAATGACAAATATGGAATGGTAATGTTTATAAACAGATGAGTCTAACTAAAAAAAAAAAAAAAAAAAAAAGATGCAAATAATGTTTATAAAAAAAACAGATAGTTAACAAAACTAAACAGTATGGTATAGCAAAATGTACTATTAGTCAAATGACACTCAGCAAACAGCACGGAAAAGTAACATGTAAAAACATATCAGCAGATTGTCAAGCTAAAAACAAAATACAAATATTGAATGGCAATGTTATAAACACAAGACTTAACTAAAAAAAAAACCAAAAAAAAAAAACCAACAAAGGTTTTGTCTATAAACAGTATATAGTCAAACTAAACTGAACAGTATGAAATGGTAAAATATACTAGCAGTAAAGGGATAATTTAAATTAAAAAAAAAAAATTTTAAAAATTAAAATAACAGTATCAAATAATAATGAAATAAAACTAACAGCATATATGTATTTGCTGCAAACAAATTAGAACAACCAAATAATCTTCTTTCTCTTCTTTTTCTTAGCATTGAACTTCTTTGGCTGTGAACTTCGGCGAAAACTTCTGGTTGTCTGTCCACTTCTGAGCTTTGAGTTGCTTGCATATCCGATCATACATTTGGCTCATTTGTATGCAGACTGTTGGTTCCTTGCCTCTTAGGCAAATGCACTCCAATTTCGAAAATCAAAAACCTAATTAGTTGCCTTTGAAAATCAAAAACCTAATCAGTTGCCTTTGAAAATCAAAAACCTAACTAGTCGCCTTTTGCAGCATACTTGTTGGGGAGGGGGGGAAGGAGCAAGTGGGAGAGGTTGGGTGGGTCTATTCCAAATTGGGACTTCATTACCCGCAAAAGGAAAAATAACCATAACCAAATAAAACCAACAGTTAGAATGGTGATAACATTAAACTAATGGCATGCAATGTAAATGTTTCTCATCAGTAGACAACCTTGAAATGGCAATCAAACTAATAGCTAGCAATTGTAACAGGAATGCAGCAGACAAATTAAAATAAGGCAATATGAAATCATAATAAATTAGCAACTTCTTCTTTTTATAATCCAAGCTGTGTGGCATTAGGTTAGTTGCGTAAAATTTACAGGACGTAGCAGAACCAACCCCAACAGCCCCTGGCTGTTGTGTGGTTTTTCTAGGCAAATTTATGCCTAATATGCCTATATGCCTAAAGGCGTGGAAAAAGGACTTTACTTTTATCATCTCTTGAATTCATTCCACTTTAGCTACTATGCCAGTCTACATGTAAATTTACTTACTGGGCTATTTCAGGAGCCTCAACGATTGGCTTGGCTTGCTCTGCGGACAACAACAAAAACACATTTAACCAGCATCCCCGAAGGGGAACTTCTGGTTATAATTGTAACTAGGTTATGTGCACCATATAAAATGGCTTAGCCTTGCATGCCACCAAGAACCCTGAAAGGGAACTCTTGCAGTGTTGATAAGATCAAAGAAGACAGACCCAAATACTGTCCTGACCGACGACAAAGTCGTTTACCGGCCAGTTAATGTACAATCTAGCTGCCGATGAGCCTCAAAGGTTCCTCAAGTGACTGACATTTCATGGTTTAGATTGACATGGAGTGGGGGACATCAATCTGAAGAATGACAAAAATATTGTCATCATCATCATCATCAGGTGCCTAGACGGTAAGTGTCTTCACCTTTCACATAATCACCAAAATTGTGGATTACATCAGTGCTCTCCTCTTGCCTCACCCAAATGCCAGGCATTTATATCTTTGCTTCCCTCTTTTTCCATCATTCTTGCCAGTTATAATTAGGTTGTTGAGTCCATTCCTTCTCATTATATGCCCCAACAGAAATTTTTTTTACAATCTAAGAATCAAACCCAGGTCTCCTGTGTGAGATTCCAATGCTCTTAACTGTTCAGCCAGCTGCTTCTCACACTTAAAAACTAATGACAGATATGTACAATATACAAACAATTCAAGGAATTCGAGTGTTTCAAAAATTTTGTTCTCAAAACCAAATTAGAAAACTCGCTCTCTCTCTTTCTCTTTTTCTCATTTCCTCTCAATTTTACTTCTCTTTCTTTCTATTTCCCCCCCCCCCCTCTTCCTTCTATCTTACTCTCTGTCTCTACACAAAAGACAATTACTGCATACCCTACTCAAGTTCACTGTATCTGAACCATTTTAATACTAGTGAAATTTAACAGATAAGATCTATCTAATCACAGAATCACACATATACCAAATTTTACTGACCACAAATATGTACAGTATGCCGCTGGTGTAACTGCTTTTAGAAACAAACAAAAAACAAATATATATATATATGGAAAGAAAAATTATATGCAAAACTCTTGGCAACAAAAGAATATGTCAATATCCTCACACACAAAAAACAGTGATATGTGAACATGTGGAAAATGGACTAAAATAATATATAGTTACCTCTCTAATGGTATGTAAACCAAAAAAGGCGAGTACTATTTATATTTACTCTCAGAATCTGACAATGCTTTGAACATGTGGAAATTTTACAATGTAACATTTAGTTGAACACAATAAATTAAATGGTGTGATAGAATCACAAACATAGAGCTTTGAGAAAGAACTATATACATTCCAGTGAATCCACAGTTGAGGAAAAGACACTGGCTTTGGATAGGACACACAATGATAAAACCTGATAACAGTTTAACTAAAGCGTCCTTGCACGGGAAGCCACAGACTTCCAAAATAATAAATGCACACTAAAATTCCACAGTTAAGAATATAAGAAAATGAAAAGATAAAGATGTGGAGGAAATGGGGTGAAATGCAAAGAATAGGACAACCTGGTGTCAGTTGGTTGAGTGCCTAAGCTCCATTGGGGGATCAAGAACAGAAGAACATCCAGTTTAGAAGAAAAAAAAAATGAATAAAACACAACTGAGACATAATTCTGAGGAAATCAACACCACTGTCCAATTAACAAAGCTGTGATCCACTTAAAACACCTGTTCTCAGGCACAGACAAATATCAAAATGGACGCTAGGCAGGGCCACTGTTTGGAGCCAAGGCAAATTGTTTGCTTCTGCCGGATGGTGGCCGATGCATTTTTGCTCCATTTGTAGACTGGATGTAGTTTTGTCGCCCGGCTTCTGAGTTGAATGCATGGCATGACACTGTGAGCTGCGGATTTCATTTGGGATGTTTTTCGACTGTGACCAACGTGGTGGTGTGAATTGTAGATTCAGAAAATGGTGAGATTTCTGTTGTGGCAATGTTGGTGGTGCCCGTATGTGAATAAAATTAATCGCGGGGGAAACTGCTGATCTGTTGGTGACTTCTGCTACCATCAATGATGAACTGCATTTCTAATGTCGGACTGTTTGTGTTAGCACTCTGGATGGCTACTGTATGCTTTAATGCGTGTGTATGCTAGATATGCTGAGACAGCAGTCTGTCAATCTTTCCACAAGGGACTGTGATAGACATTCTGTGTGTTTTTCGTTGGCACAGGAGCGGAGCAACTATGGGGGTGACCAGTTTGCTATGAAGCTGAAACTAAGACTACCAAACTACCAGACATTAGGAAATGTCACTGGTCACTCTTATGCCAGATTTACTAGCTACTTTAACTCATTTTGTCCTTCTTGTAAACTCAATCCTTTCATTGGATTAGGTTTTTCTGCTTCTTCTTCTACCTCACATCCTCTTTTACTACATCTGTTGAGGGAGATAACAAGTTCTGCTTCTTGCTCTTCAGAATATACTGGAATGAAAACCTGACAAAGTTATACACCGTAAGTGTTTTGTGTCTGGAATGTTCCACTGGATATGTCTGTGGTACTGGCTACAAGACCTACAGGCAAGAAAGCAGATGGTGGGCATGTCCAAGGTCCTGGACAATGTGCTGCAGAAGTTGATTCTGGTGGCATAGATATATATAGTACTATTGTAGAGTTTCTCTGATGTTATCTGTCCATCCTATTCTTGGTCTACCTTCAGCTCCTCTTCCTCTTATGGTGTATGGTCTTGTATGGTATGGCTTTCCAAGGAATTCTCTCTAGTGGGCCAACTGTCTGATTTGTCTGTATGTAATTTAGAATTGGTTGTGTGTCATTATTTTTCTCTTATGACCTCATTCCTGATTCTGTCTCTACTGGTCACTCCTGCAGCTCTTCTCCCACATCTCATTTCCATGGTTACCAATTTTCTTTTATGGTTTGCTATAAATGACCATGTCTGGCATTCGTAGCGTAGGGTGGGAATGTATATTTTTTGTTACAGATTTTTCACTGCGCTGATTGGGATTATCTTATACTGTAACAGAAAGGCAAAGGCAAGCTGTCCCTGTGTTTGGTAGAAGTTATTACTTATAAATATTTAGAAAGTTATGTGGCACCTCCACAACAGAGGTCAGCTGCAGTTGACATCCACTGCCGTCTGTGGGAATATCAGGTGGCGAGGCCCCAACCTCTTCCACAGTGCAACTCTTGAAAGCCACAAGAACGGTTACTTTCTAAGCTATCACAATGTAACCCTAATACTTCCAGATTGTGAAACACCTTCACTAATTTTCATCCTTGTGTGGGTTCGGGGCCCTATTGTGGGGAAAAAAAGAATAGACCCACTGCCTCCTTAACAAGCATGTCCTAAGAGTCGACTAATTAGGGGTTTCCTTCAAAGTCCGAGTGCATCTGCCTGAGAGACTGAGAAGGAATCAACAGTCTCCATACAAATAAGTTAAATCTGTAAAATGGATGTGCACACAACACTCGGGTTTTGGAACAAGTCTAAAGTCCAGTGGTTGATGAACAACCAGAACTTTCTGCCGGAGTTTACAGCCGGTGAACACAAAGAAAAAGAAGACAAGAAGAAGAGGACTAACCTTCAAACCAGAGTCAGACAAGTCATTCCTCTACCTTCTGCTAGGCGAGACAATAATTATTTTAACTTTGTGTAATCCAGATATTTTACACAGAATGATAGTTTTTTTTTTTTTAAAGAAATGTTAAATTATAGAATTACAAATCTACATAAATAATTCTGGCAGCACAATATGAATATCATCCATACTCAAAACTTTCCAGTTGTCACATGTTCCAGTTTTTCTCACAATGTGGCCAACAGATAATGACTGCCAATCTAATGTTTGTGATATCTGGTCTTTGCTTCTTTTAAAACATCTGTATTATACATGTTGGCTATCACAAGAATTGTATGCATTCCTCTGTAAAACCACATTTCTAAGGCCTCAAGAAATTGTTTGACTTGTAAATCCCACAAAGTTAGTGTTATTGCTACATTCATGAAGCACTGTTGATTTGTGTTAATGTTAATAAAAAATGTCATTAAGCCCTGTTAATACAAGTCGTGTCATTATGAGTGTCATCAATCAATGTCAATGTTAACAATTGTCTTTACATAATCACAACAATAATTCATATGCAGTAAAATAATATGCAAATATTTTTAAAATAAGCTTAAAAATGTGAACTATACATCTGTCAGTTGCATAATGTGTTGCATAAAAGAAAGCATTAAAAAATGTTCAGTGTAAGTCACTTGTCATAGTGGACCTGTGGATGACCATGATGTAGATGGATGACCACGATGTAGATGGATGACCACGATGTAGAGAGCTGGACAGATGAACAAAGCCCATACACAGCTGTAACATTTGGGAAGACAAAACTAAAGGCCTGGTAGCAACTATTTTACAACCAAATGAGTAAAATAACAAGTGCAATATGAAATAAAAACTGAGTGTAAATTAAATTGAAAAAAAAAAAAAATTACTGTCATCTGCACTGTTAAATTGACGGGTTCATTTGTTAACTCTCTTGGTCTTATAAGGTTTTGTTTAAAAATCAATACTGTTTTTATTCAATGTTGGCCAAAAATTCTAACCACTTGCAGGATTGAAAAAAAAAAATTATGAAAAATACCTTTGTGATTGCCAGATTCATTTGGTATACAGAGGCCCAAACTTAAATATAAGAAGACACTTGACGTTGATGTTTGAAATGTGTGGGCGGGTGGGTGGGGGAGGGGGGGGGGGGGGGGGGAATTGTCTGTAATCCTTGTTTGGGACTGAAAGAGTTGATCATGGTATTGATACCGAATTCCTCAAGAAGATTTACTTGAATGTATAATATCTACAGCTTCCTCCGAAGTCGGAGTACATCTGCCGGAGAGGCGGGGAACGAGAACTGCGAACAAATAAGCCAGTAAAGCGGATGTACACGCAAAACTCAGGTCGAGGTAAAAGCCAAAGGTCCATTTTGGACGAACAACCGCGACTTACTGCCGGAATTCACAGCCGGTGAACAAGCAGAAGAAGAAAGAATATCTACAGCAGAGCTTTCCAAACCGTTCAGCCTGTCAACATACCTTTTAGAAAAACATAATTTTGCGATAGTAATTCAGTCTGCTAGTAAATCAGAGGCTAAACTAACCCCTTATAAAAGAAATAAACAGATGGCGAACCTCTGAGGCCATAGAAACATATATAATAAAAAATCAAAATAATGTATTGCTCGTCACTTGTAAAATAAGTAGAAGGATAGAAGGATAAACTAGATGACATAACAATCAAAAGCTGTAGTTACCATGCTAGGGACTAAATCTGTCACCTTCAGGTGATGTCAGTGCTCATCATAGAAACAAGTATACTTATTTAGATGCATGGCTAGCTAGGTACCCCTAAATAAAGGTGTTTTTATTAGTCACGTCTATAGTACAGTCTGAATCCACAACTATGGAATATGGAGACTCAATCCGCAACTATGGAATATGTGAATCCACAACTATGGAATATGTGAATCCACAACTATGGAATATGTGAATCCACAACTATGGAATATGTGAATCCACAACTATGGAATATGTGAATCCACAACTATGGAATATGGAGACTCAATCCACAACTATGGAATATGTGAATCCACAACTATGGAATATTTGAATCCACAACTATGGAATATGTGAATCCACAACTATGGAATTTGTGAATCCACAACTATGGAATATGTGAATCCACAACTATGGAATATGGAGAGAAGTTATCTCAAACCACTGAAATTAACACCTTAAAAAATATTATTCCGTTAAACGTTTCATGTTCCGCTAACACACCTTCATCCTGCAGCTGAAATACCAGTTTTGTTTTTGTTTTTTTCCTCTTTCTCGTTAACTGGCTGTAAACTCCGGCAGAAAGTTCTGGCTGTTCATCCACTTCTGGACTGCAGTCCTGTTCCAGAACCTGAGTGTTGCGTGTGCATCTGTTTGACAGATCTGTATGCAGACTGTTGGTCCCTTGCCTCTCAGGCAGATGCACTCCGACTATGAAGAAAGCTCACAATTAGTCGACTCTTACAACATGCTTTTGGGTAGGCAGTGGGTCTATTCTTGTTTTTCCCATAGTAGGGCCCCGGAACCCACACGAGGATGAAATACCAGTGTGTCGCAACACAAAGTACGTGAACTCTGGTTGACAGAATGAAAGGGCAATAACTGTGTTTATTAGCGTCAACCATTCTTGACTATAAGCCAATATTCCTGGGCCTAAAAATTTACAAGTTACTCAGTTCTCCCCCCCCCCCCCCCCCCCCCCCCCCCCCCCCCCTTTACATCTTGTGATTATAAATTTGTACACATTTCCATAAAAATGATTACTCGGTTGTTAACAGTGACTATCTACATGTCAAGTAGGTTTGCAGATAAAGGGAAATAACAAACTTCAAATTTTAACAGTTTAAAGACAACAAAAATCCTGCATTCTACATGACGAAACTCTGACATGCTTTAAGTGTTAACTACTTATAGTACAATTAGATTTTAGATTATTACTAGTGCTCTGTCATTCTTTATGAGTTAAATATGGTGGACTTTCTTTGTTTGTTGAGTTGAACACTGAAATAAAATTGAAGCTTAACCTGAATTAAAAATTAACAAGAGCTATTAATTCTTTGCAAGTTAAACACCTATAAATTAACCAAACTGCAAACAAATATGGGGCCCGCTATTTTTTAAAAATTGTATCATTATTTAAGCAATGATAGATCAAAAGCCAGAACAATACTGACTCGGAGAGAAATGGGAGTGAGATCAAAATGGACAGAGAACTTGGAGTGAAGTCAATTCTGACTCAGGAAGAATGAAGAGTGAGGTCAATATTGACTCAGGGAGAATGACAGGTCAATACTGGCTAAGGGAGAATGAGGAGTGAGATCAATACTGACTCCGGGAGAACGAGGAGTTAGGTCGATACTAACAAGGAGAACAAGGAGTTAGGTCAATATTGAACAGGGAGAACAAGGAGTTAGGTCAATATTGAACAGGGAGAACAAGGAGTGAGGTCAATAATGAACAGGGAGAACAAGAAGTAAGATAAATACTGACCAGAGAACAAGGAGCAAGGTCAAGATTGACTCAGGAAGAACAAATGAAGAATTTATTTTTGCGTGAACGACCACATTTTTTTCTCCAATGTTTGAGAACTAACAAAAAAAACAAAAAAATAGAAACAACTGGCTACTAACCTGAGTACGAAGTTGAGGGGGGAAAAAAGGAGAGGAAAGCAGGAAAACAAGGTAGGATGGCAGAGAGGAGAGCAAAGTATGTGGGCCAGATGGAAAAAAGAAAAATGTTAGCATTGCTTTTGAAAAATGATTAGGACAAGCTTAAAATTTGGAAATACAGGCATGTTTTGTGAATCCAAATGCATTTTATTTTCACAACAACAAAAGATGTTTTCATGACTTCATAAAATATTTTTTCTGTGGTTTTATAATAAATATATTTTCATAATTTCTCAAAAAGTGAGATTCCCATTATTGTTCACAAATATATTTTCACGATTCACTCAGTTATTTACATTTTCATTGTTTTCTTTAAAATGAAGCGAATTTATATAACCACAGCATCAAGTGCTGCATGAAAATAAAATATGTCAACAAATCAAGGATATTCTGGAACAAAACGTGGCACAATTATACGTCATCAGTGCCTGATGGCTGGAATGTTTTTCTGGATATGTCTGAGGCACTGGCTAGAAGATCTGTAGGCACGGAAGCAGCCGGTGGGGACGTTGAAAGTCCCGGACAATTTGCTGCTGATGCTGGTGGTACTGCAGGTCCTTGAAAAAAACTGTCGCTGCATTTGATGGCACTAGAGGTGTCCTGACTGCCAGAAGTGTCCTGACTGGCAAGGTGTACTGAGGATACATTTCCCGTGATCCTGCTGTTGATGTGAATTATTTTTTTTTTTTAAATATATTAATTCATTATATAAGATCTGCTGCTGCTCATCATCATAGCAAAGTAAAAGACTCTTTACCACGCCTTCAGGTGTATTGGGCATATAGGGCTAGACCTATATTTTATAGACCAATCGGCACTTGGAGGTTGATGTGGTCAGCATCATGCTGGCTGCTTTTACTTTCCAGGACTGCACCTGGTACCCACTCAAGGTTGGGTCGACCTAGGAGGCAAAGTTATTTTTTTTAAAAGTTCAACTCCGCCAGGACCTGAATCCACAACCTTCTAATCCACAGGTGAGCGTCTAGCCACTACACCACGGTGACTCCCCACTGCTCATCATATAAATGAAATAATTTTCTCTGATAACTTCATTACAGCTACTGTTTAATGTTCTTCTCCTTCTACCCTTTGTCCCGCAACTTGTCCCATTCTTTGATAATCCATGTAGCTCACCCCTTGTCCTCTCTATCTTTTTAACTTCATTCACCAGCTCACTTCTCCAAGTTCTTTTGGTCTGCCTTTATTTCTATACCGCTGTGGGTTCCATTCTAGTTACAATGTTTTCAGATTTTCTCAATGTGAATCCTATGCAATGCCTGCACCTCTTCTTCACCTCTTGATTTACTGGAATTGTTTAGTTCTTTGTAATTCAACTACAGTTATTGTAGCTGACTAAAATTAACTCAGGAAGAAAACTGATTACCCTATAGGAAGGAGACAATCTAAATTTGTGGGCATGTCATGAGATTGGAAAGCTAGAGGGAAAGAGAGGCAGATGGAGACCAAAAGAGAAGATGCTGCACAGATTGGCATCATGGCATCAAACAACATCTGTGCCAGAAATGACTTGACATTACATGAGACAGAGGGCTGTGCACAGACATAATTACCAATGAAACACTCAAAGGACTACAAGAAGAAAAACAAGTTGTTATTCTTCTTCTTCTTCACCTCCACTGGGGACTTCCTTCAAAGTCAGAGCGCATGTGCTTGAGCAGCAAGAAACAACCAGCTGCACAAATATAAGCCAGTAAAATGGATGTACACGCAAAACTCAGTCCCTGGCATAAAGCCAAAGTCAAAATGGACTAGCAATCAGGACTTTCTTACATCTGATGAACAGAGAAGAAGAAGAAGAAGTAGAAGAAGAAGAAGAAGAAGAAGAAGAAGAAGAAGAAGAAGAAGAAGAAGAAGAAGAAGAAGAAGAAGAAGAAGAAGAAGAAGATTAGAGTCAAAAACTTGACACACATCGCAGTGATATTCCTATATATAAAACAGTTGTACCTAGCGCAAGCACACAAACTCCACCTCTCCAGCAACTATTGCTGAAAGTCTGAACCAGCACAGATTTTGAACAGTTCTACTAGTTCAACATCGGTGTCTGTGGCTTAGGCATTGTGAATGCACTTTGTAATGCCGGGGTGTCGGGTTTGATCCCAACTGTGGACAATTTGTCTTGTGTTGGTTTCAACACAGGTGCTGCGATCAAACCGTTCAAAAGCAATGACAAACTACTGAACGTGAAATTTACCTAGAAAAACCACAGCAGCCAAAAAACGCTGGGGTTGGTTCTGAAACATCCTGTAAAGGAAACACAACTAACTTTTTAACTAGTTAAACAGTGGATTGAAAAGATAAGGCAAGAATCGATGGCAAATAAAGCATTTCCTAGACTTACTCAAACTGCTGAGAGAGTCCATCAGTTTGGTACATTTCTCCACTGCTGTGTGTTTCTGAAGAAAAAACTCTGCCAGTTGTTTTTGCAGGAGAGAAAACTGGAGTTGCTGGTAGCAAACGGCCTGACAGCCCATCTGGTATCATCAGAAAAACAAATATAAAGTTAATGGTTGTCTTCTTTCTTCTTCTTCTGCCTTTCTATCCCCTAATGGAGTATAGGCCCCTAATGAAGTATAGGCCCCCAATGGAGTATAGGCCCTCAATGGAGTATAGGCCCCCAATGGAGTATAGGCCCCCAATGGAGTATAGGCCCCCAATGAAGTATAGGCCCCCAATGGAGTATAGGCCCCCAATGAAGTATAGGCCCCCAATGGAGTATAGGCCCCCAATGGAGTATAGGCCCTCAACCAACATTCTATCCTTCACTACTGCATGAAGCACTCCCCATGTCCTCACCATCTTTCAATCTTCATTCTCCAGCTCTCCTCTCCATGTGTAGCCAAGATAACAGACAGAAAAAAAAATATTGTTTAAATCTGGTGAAAGCATCAACACAACATTAACAGGCACAGACAAGAAATCCACAGAAAATCATCCTTATCTTCAGAAGAAAAAAAAACATAATAACTGGAAAATTCTGAAATGGCTCCTTCTGGATTTATCTCATCAGAACAAACAGCTGACCTCTCAGCTGCCGCTTGTGTAAATTTACCATATGAATCCCTTTCTTGAAATTTTTCACTATCATTATCAGAATTAGAAAACATCTGACTGACATAATTTCAGTTTTTCAGCCACAGAAAGGCTCATTTTTTCAGCCTGTGATTGCCTGTGGAAAATTGGGATCCATGGCCAGGTCAACAAATATTCAGAAAATGCACCGTCTGTAAATGATGCTAGCAATCAATTTGATCAATCTGTGCCAAAATGTGAGCAAATAAAGGTTTGTATACAAAGACAAATGTTAAAGAGTAACCTTCCCCAAATTCTTTAATGGTAGTTCCAAACATTAGAAATTAATACAGTGCAGTAGGCGAATCAACATCTATGGGACACAGGACCGACGCAGACAGTGTTGTTTGGGAAAATCAGAACTTCTCAGCCAACACACATATAGTCGCTTAGATTTTAAAAAGTTAATGGTAATAACTGGAGCTGTTACACAGTTGTAATAGTTTATATTCCGTTTGCCCACTGAAATTACCACACAAATAATTTACCTTTGATTCTTCTGTGCTGGCTGTGCTTGTAAGGGCGCATGTTGAGTAACTGCTGCTTGATCAACTTGGCTCTCTCATCCTGGAGTAACTGCTTCTGCAGACCACAAAACAAGTCATGGAGAGAAACATACACAGCATGTGGTGGTTTGAGATATTGCAACAAGAGCAACACACATGGTGAGGAATATACACAACATGTGGTAGTGTGAGATATCGCAACAAAAGCAACATACATAGAGAGAAACATACACAGCAGGTTGTAGTGTGAGATATCGCAACAAGAGCAACACACATAGAGAGGAATATACACAGCAGGTTGTAGTGTGAGATCTCACAACAAGAGCAACACACATGGAGAGGAATATACACAGCAGGTTGTAGTGTGACATATCGCACCAAGAGCAACACACATAGAGAGGAATATACACAGCAGGTTGTAGTGTGAGATATCGCAACAAGAGCAACACACATAGAGAGGAATATACACAGCAGGTTGTAGTGTGAGATATCGCAACAAGAGCAAGGCACATAGAGAGGAATATACACAGCAGGTTGTAGTGTGAGATCTCACAACAAGAGCAACACACATAGAGAGGAATATACACAGCAGGTTGTAGTGTGAGATCTCACAACAAGAGCAACACACATAAAGAGGAATATACAAAGCATGTGGTAGTGTGAGATATCGCAACAAGAGCAACACACATAGAGAGGAATATACACAGCATGTGGTAGTGTGAGATATCGCAACAAGAGCAACACACACACAGAGGCTTATACACAGCAAGTTGTAGTGTGAGATATTGCAACAAGAGCAACATACAAAGAGAGGAATATACACACCATGTGGTAGTGTGAGATATCGCAACAAGAGCAACAAACATAGAGAGGAATATACACACCATGTGGTAGTGTGAGATATCGCAACAAGAGCAACATACAAAGAGAGGAATATACACACCATGTGGTAGTGTGAGATATCGCAACAAGAGCAACATACAAAGAGAGGAATATACACACCATGTGGTAGTATGAGATATCGCAACAAGAGCAAAACACATAAAGATGAATATACACAGCAAGTTGTAGTGTGAGATATTGCAACAAGAGCAACATACAAAGAGAGGAATATACACACCATGTGGTAGTGTGAGATATCGCAACAAGAGCAACAAACATAGAGAGGAATATACACACCATGTGGTAGTGTGAGATATCGCAACAAGAGCAAAACACATAAAGATGAATATACACAGCATGTGGTAGTGTGAGATATCGCAACAAGAGCAAAAGCCATAGAAAGGAATATACACACCATGTGGTAGTGTGAGATATCGCAACAAAAGGAACACACATAGAGAGGAATATACACACCATGTGGTAGTGTGAGATATCGCAACAAGAGCAAAACACATAGAGAGGAATATACACAGGATATGGTAGTGTGAGATATCGCAAAAAGAGCAACACTAATAGAGAGGAATATACACAGCAGGTTGTAGTGTAAGATATCGCAACAAAAGCAACATACATAGAGAGAAACATACACAGCAGGTTGTAGTGTAAGATATCGCAACAAGAGCAACATACATAGAGAGAAACATACACAGCAGGTTGTAGTGTAAGATATCGCAACAAGAGCAACATACATAGAGAGGAATATACACAGCAGGTTGTAGTCTAAGTTATTGCAACAAGAGCAACACACATAGAGAGGTATATATTCAGCATGTGGTAGTGTGAGAAATTGCAACAAGAACAACACACATAGAGAGGTATATATACAGCATGTGGTAGTGTGAGATATCGCAACAAGAGCAACACACATGGAGAGGAATATACACAACAGGTTGTAGTGTGAGATCTCACAAGTAGCATCTCACATACTAATTTTTTAATTAATAGTATTACCATACACACAAATTGTTAATTAATGGTAGCATCTCACACACAAACTGTTTAATTATTTGTAGCATCTTCCACACAAGTTCAATTAATAGCAGCATCTCATACAGCCCAGATTATCTCAAAATTAAGGAGATTTTATCTAATCTGTAAGTCATCAATAATTTAAATCAATAGAATTAAGTAACAGAAATTGATTTTTATATTTTACTTTCAAATAAAATATTATACAATTTGGTAACAAATGTTAAAACAGCACTATACCACTCACTTACTTCTTTGCTTAAACAAGCTACAGCCTCTTTTAAAGCTTTTCTTTCCTTCTCAAAAATAGCTTTCTCTTCAGTGAAGAACTTTCTCTGCTCTGAGAAACTGTCCTTCTCTCGTAGCAGCAGAGACTCGTGAAGCAATGACTTGTCCTTGGTTTGGGAACGTGACGTCAAAGAGTTCTAGCCACCAAATAACAGAAGACAAAAGATAAACTTAAACTTTCTTCTTCTTCTTTTGTCCTGCTGCTAATACCAAAAAGCATCGTAGAGAGGAGTTAAATGTAGTTTTCTGTCATTTGCATGTTGTCAAGCTTGTGTCAATGTCACAGTGCATTTCTCTTGTGTCTCTTTTACTCTTTCCACCCATCCCTTTCTTGGTTGACATCTTGACCGACTTTAAGCCTGCTGTTCCCATGTAGAACGCTCAAGCTGCTGGTTTATTTTATTCCATACTGACCAGATGACCAAATCATCTGATTCTTAGATGTTCTATGAGATCATTTTCCATTACTGTGAATACCATTGCATTCAGATCTTGGTTTCTGACGCAGTCTCTTGTAATTTTTTTTCCCCTGCTGTATTTCTTATACATCTCATGTCACAAGTTGTAATCCTGCATTTAGGTTTTTCTAGGAATCTCCATGTCTGGCATCATCATCATCATGTAGCAGGTCCTTTGCAGAACGTCGTTCTCATCACAGTCTGCCTGTAAGAAACTCGGTCTCTTGCCAGCTCTCCCGCCTCATGTACTTTCACACTCAAGGAGTCACTTATATCATGTGCCCATCTTCGTGTCGGTCGGGCGGGCCCTGCCCCTTCTTCCTGGTACTATGCCTTCTGCTATAATTTTTTCCAATCCGTCGTGGCGCTTGATATGACCAAAATATTTCAGCTTTCGAGACAGGATGCTGTTTATTAGCCAATCTTCCTTGATGTTCAGATCTTTCAAGATGTCAGTATTTCTCATCTCCATGTCTGGCACTGATAGCAAAAGGTTGGTAAGAATAGCACATTTATCAGCTGTTTTTACTGCCAGTATTTAACACTTGTTAGGGCGATGTAAGACAAGGTGGTCTTGGGCTTCAGGATGGCATGCATAACTAGAGAAATGGCCAGGAACTGTACTGTCAGTGGGTGCAGATGTATGCATGTGTGTGTATATATATGAGGCTCTTTACCTACAAACATTGTTCCCTGCCTCATTATTCTAGATCCTTCCAGGCCTGCAATGGGTTTATAAGTCCTCTTCGGGCTCACAGACAATCAACTATAGTTTCACGATGGATGAGAGAAAGAGTGTTCCTCATTTATGATGGATGGACGAACAACAACAACAACTGTATATGAGTACAGACTGGTTGGCTTGAATGTGTGAATATGTCCTTTTTTTTTAAAGAGAAATGCTGTGATAACAATTTTAATAAATGGGAGTGGTTTATTATTCAAAGCCTGTGATAATCTATCTGTTAAATCTTTGAGTCCCAAGGAACGCATCACGCGCTAATTGGTTACTACCTGGCGGCCCAATCAGCGCATGACGTGTGACGGTTTTTAATTTACCACTTATCGGTAATTACACGCGAACCGCTTAATTTAAACTTCCTTTCCGGTTCTCAAGTGTGTAGTGAACACATGTGGAGTGCATTTGTTTGTGTCTGGTGAGTTTTTAACGCTATAAATCTATATTTGTGTGGTCTACTACGTTACCAAACAATTGTCTGAAAACAATATGTCCGATCAGTCATCGTCTTCATGCCCAGCAAAGCGATTTACTGCTTTAGAAGCATCAAATTTGATAAAACAGTGGATCGATAAAAGTAATGTGGAGTTGGATAATGATAGTAGCGACGTGGAATTTCCCCAAACCATTGATGAGTCAAGTTCTGATTAGGAATGTGTGCGTAATTTACCTCCTGCTAAGAGGTCAAAACTGACTAAATCTGCCATGGCAACACAAGAGAATAGTGGTGCTGAAGCATCTTGTAACGCGACACCAGCTAGTCCAAATGTCAGTGCTTCTAATACTACTATCCATATCATCTAAAACCATAGATATATATCTATGAATAGGTTGACATGTTTACAGTGCCTTTACAGTTTTTTCTCTGTGAGAAATTCAATTGTTTTTAGAAAAGTCACTGTTTGTGCAACTGGAGAATATATTTTGACGTGTTATGGTAGTGTTATTAAAATTGCTATGGAACAACAACTATTGCACATTTTGCTTTAATATTGGCTGTACATACTTATAAGTGGTGTACCTTCCTTTGTGATGAATTTTTGATATACTATATCAAGAATTTTGGGATCAGCTTCTGGGTAAGTGGAAAAAACTTGTTCATAATTTACTCACCTCTCAAACTAAGTCACTGTTTTCTCTACTAAATACTAACTAACGGTATAATTGTTTGTTGTAGCAGTATGCTAATATTATTCCTTGTCCATTTATGTTTATTTTCATTATGATATGTGTAAGTTGCACATCAGCTGCAGTTGTGTGGTTTGTTTTAAAGTGCTGCATTAGTTAAAAGTCAAAATCATATTACCTCTGCCTCCCCCCCCCCCCTTCTTTTGGGCCTCTGATGCAAAAAACCCTGGGACTCAAAGAGTTAAGGGACAAAAAAACAATGTCTGGATTATTTTCAGCTTTTAATATTCTTACCAAATGTAATTTAGTAAAGGTTTATGAGTTTTAAATAGCTGTACTGTGTGATCCATCAGACTTCCCATACCACAACATTCCCCAAAGCAGTCTACCTATAAAGAAGTGTGTTCTGAGGCCATGAATTCAGCTAAAAATAATCAGTCAATCTTCACCTTTAATCTACACAAACCGTACCTGTATCATATCTTCTTGCTGCTGTATAATCATCTTGTAGTTGCCGACTTGCTTCGTGAGTCTCTCAATCTCTGCCTTATCATCCAAGTGCCTCCCTATAGAAGGGTCTTTCTCTGAAGGATGTAAGCCGGCAGACCTGGATGGCTGCACACCAGCATGATCTTTGTGTACGCCTGTCATGGAGATTATTTGGCATCACGATTTGCTCATCAACAAATTTATTTATTTCACTCCCAAGCAGTTGTTATATTAACCCTTTATATCCCACAGAGTTTAGCTTCTTCTTCTTTTTTCAATTCCATGCCATATGGCATTGGTAGTCATGTCTACCCACAACCTTCTGTTTCATGTACTTTCAATCAACTCTGACACAGATGATCCTCCATGCGATGATGTCATCTTCTCTATCAGTCTCCGTCTGCCTCTCTTCCCCTTGAACTTGTTTTCATTCATGATGTACTCACGATGTATACTGTCTCTTTCTGATGTGAGCAATCAGTTCTCTTCATGAGTCAGTTCCTTGCGAGACATCTTCATTGCTTTTTTTTAATCCGTCCATGGTATTCTCATCATTTGTCAAAAAACACCATATTTCCGCAGCCTCCAAATAATTTTTTACTACTCACCAACTTTCCATGATTCACTTCCGTATATCAGGACAGAATTTACACAGCTTTAAAGAATTCTCTTTCTCATTTCAACTGACAAAAAAAGATTGAATAGAATAGTTTTCATCTTGTAAAATGCTGCCTTTGCTTGAGCTATTCTACACTTAAGTTTGGCTTAAAGGCAAGAAATACTTAGCTCTGTCAGAGTTCAACAGGAACACTACAGGACAGAAGGGATTGGACTAATAATTCAGAAATAAAGGGTTAATATAACAATGGCCTGTGAATAGAAGCCAGTAAGAACTTTATAGTCTCTCTGGAATTACCAAGAAATGTGTGGTGAGTTGTTTAATAGTGAAAGAGTTAAGGAGAACAATTACAAAAGTTCAGTAAATGTTTATTATTCTGGCTTAATTAGTCACAATTTTAAAAAGTTCAGTAAACACCCAATATTCTAGCTCATTTAGTCATAATGGAGCAATGAAAGAAAGCAAGATCAATTTTGTTCCATCTCTGTCAGTTGCTACATCAGAGCTTTTTATCCCACCAGGGCTGTACTATATAACAACAATTATTGAAACCTTATGAGTTAAAATAATACAACAGAAGAATAAAACAAGTTAAAGCAACAAATGAGAAATACTTTTAAAGCCTTTGCTCAATATTTATTGTTTTGTATACGCCTCTTCCTTCTGTCAACTGGCTGTAAACTCTGATGGAGAGCTCTGGTTGTGCAAGTGTTTGAGTTTGGCATGCGCCTCAGTTTTACAGATCTGGCTAATTTGTATGCAGCTACTGGTTTCTTGCCTCTCAGGAAGATGCATTCTGACTTCGAAGACAACCCCTAATTAGTTGACTCTTACAACATGCTTCTTCGAGAGGCAGTGGGTGTGTTCCCCCCCCCCCATTTCCCTCAACCACCCACACAATGGGGCCCCTGAACCCACACAGGGATCTTTGTTATAATCGTCTTTTTTAAATTAATTTTTTTTACAGCATGTATGTATGTATAAATATTGTTAAACCCTATCAGAACTGTCCAACCAGCGACCAACATCCGGTGACACAGAATGCCACCATTCAGATGAGGATCACCGGGGCACAAGTCTCAGAAACCCTGTTCAACCCACAGGGGGGGGGGGGGGGGGGGGTTATATTAGGGCCCCCGGCAACAGTCGGAGTGGGGTTTCAAATAACACACACAAAAACTGTGTCTCATATAGGGAAGGTGTCTATTTTACAGCAGAGATGTGACGGCCAGGTGGCACTTCCCGTGCCCTCTGGCATTTTAGAGGTTACCTACTTTGTATACAAGATTTCATACTGTCGCTGATTTGATCACATGTCTTTCTGAACATTCTCTCCATGTCATGTCTGATTACATCGTATGGCATTTGAAAGTAACCTGAAAAAAAAAAAAAAAAACATCCCAAAAAAAATGTTATTACTTAGCGCATTATTCAACTTTTACTTATAACCCACAACTTTATAACTATAACAACTATAAATCACAACTTTACAACTATAACAACTGTAACTCACAACTTTACAACTATAACAACTGTAACTGACAACTTTATGACTAAAACAACTCACAACTTTACAACTATAACAACTGCAACTCACAACTTTCCAACTATAACAACTGTAACTAACAACTTTACAACTATAACAACTGTAACTCACAACTTTCCAACTATAACAACTGTAACTCACAACTTTACAACTATAACAACTCACAACTTTACAACTGTACCTCACAACTTTACAACTATAACAACTCACAACTTTACAACTATAACAACTGTAACTCACAACTTTACAACTAAAAAAACTGTAATGCACAACTATAAGGGTGTGTTTTTTAGTCTATGTAAGCTTCTGTAACCTATGTTGCTATTTTAATTTTTTTTCTCAAAGAAGACTTCAGCAATTTTAAATGTAATGAAAAGTTATAATGGCAATACTAAATGTAATGAAAAGTTTCAACAGCATTTCTATTTGTGAAGTGATAAAAGTATTTCTATATGTAATGAAAAGTTATAACAGAATTTGTATATGCAATGAAAAATTATAACATCATTTCTATCTGCAATGAAAAGTTATAACATCATTTCTATATGCAATTAAAAATTATAACATCATTTCTATATGTAATGAAAAGTTATAACATAATTTCTATATGCAATGAAAAGTTATAACATCATTTCTATATATGCAATGAAAAGTTATAACATCATTTCTATATGCAATGAAAAGTTATAACATCATTTCTATATGCAATGAAAAGTTTTAACATCATTTCTATATTTAATGAAAAGTTATATTATCAAACAAATATGAATAAAGTTAGTTACCTTCATCAAGATCAGCGACCGATGGATATGTAGAATTGGAATGTTCACTGTCTTCTGAAGCTTCCGGAACATCAGCATGACTGGATATCTAGAATTAATATTGTGAACTGCCATTTAAATTATTCTTTCATAGGAAACAAACAGGGAAAAAAAAAGACTAGAGGGACGGACAACGATGAGTCTCAAACGCTAGCCAGATTACGTGGCTTGGAAATAAAGCCTGAATGAAGCCCATCTATGCCCTTTTTGAGGTCAAGTTAGCAGACTTTAAAACCAAATGTTTATGGGTAAAATCAGCACAGTTACTATGGAGTGCTTGCTGCATTGAAGGACTAAGCAGGCATGGAAATGCCCAATGTGCAGCAATGTAGATAATGATATAAAAGGGGAAAAAAGGGGAGGGGGATGTGTCAAATCAAAAATGGAGAATTAGAGGCAGAGACGAACAGTACAGGAGGGCAGAGAGGGAACTACAGAAGATGGAAAAAGACAGGACAGCTCAGCATAAGTCTACGATTTTATAGGGAATAATAAGAAGAAGCAAAACAATTAAACTGATTCACTTGTATTTTGAAATGTTTCAAATGTTTATAATATGAAGTGTCTTGTTTTTTTCATCTTTCATCTGGGTACAGATTCACCATCCCAGCATTCAGGACAAGCAAACCCATATCAGCTCTGTCTCCCTCCACAACAGCCAGCACAGATTCTCCATACCGATGGTGCTCGTTGTCATGAATGAGACTGGGATCTCAAAACCTAACACTACTGCCCCTCCAACAAAGCAAGTCTTAAAAGGCAACTAATGAGGACTACTGTCGAAGCGCATCTTTCTGCAAGATGAGGAACCAACAATCTGCATACAAATAAGCCAGATCTGTAAAGAGGATGTGCATGCTAAACTCAAATTCTGAAACCCAGACCAAAATACAGAAGTGGGTGAACAACCACAATTTTCTGCCAGAAGAAGAGGAAAAGAATATTCCTAGACACAACAGTGGATGCAAATATTCACTGCACTCAACCTCCACTGTGGATATGACAAAGCTTTTTTTTAATTATTTTTTTACACTGATACAATTTGCCTGGACTATCAGTTCAACCCTCCTTAGAACGGGTACCAGCAACTGTTCTGGAAAGTAAAGATGATGGGTATCGTCTTCTTCTTCTTCTTCTTCTTCTTCTTCTGTGTTCACAATTAAAAAAGGTGGCTGGAACACTGTGCTGCATTTACAGCTAGGCTGCAGTATCAGCACAGCACACCCGATTTCAGCAAATATCTAACTAGTTGCCTATGACATGCTTGCTAGGGAGCAGCGGGTCTGTCCCCGCCCTTATGGGGTCCGGAACCTACGCGGGGAAATACACGGGTGGTATGATATTGACTACAACAGTCATCGAGTGCTAGTTTGTTTCCAGTGGAAACAGGTGCCTTGTTCAACTTACTTTTAAGTGTCACATGTACTCACATTCGCGACTGATGTAGCTGACAAATCTGCTGTCCGCTTGTGAAGAGCTGACAGTTCCCGCTGAAGAGACAGCAAGCAGTCGCGGAGCTCTCCGTTCTCCTGGATTAGCTCCTGCTGCCTGTCTTCATAATTGCTGATAAGGATCTGGTACATCTCTTCTTCTTGCCTGAATGAATGAATGAATGAAAGAATAAATGAATGAACACCACTGCACTCAGGACATTCTCACATGTACTCCGTCTCCACAGCCAACAAAGAGCTGGCATGCTAATAGTACCAGTTGCAACCTGATTAAAAGTCCACCTATGTTTCCCCATCAGTGTTGAATATCTTCTAAAACCTCTCCTCACCGCCTCCCCCCTTTTACCATCTCTTTGAATTATTCTATCAATGTTTGGATTCTCTGTCTTGTCTATTGTACTGAGTGGTCTCGAGGCATGGTGTCGTCCTCGAGTGCTAGAGGTTCCGGGTTCAATCCCCGGGTAGGGCTGGGATTTGTCCACATGGACTTGAACTTCTAGTAATTCCCCCTGGTCTTTGGGTAGTGAGATCGGACGCCCATGTGCATTGTTGCGCACCTAAAAGAATCCTTTGGCAGTTGGAAATCTAAAAGAGTAGCCTAACGGCACTGCCCAGGCAAAATTTTGAGTTAAAAATCTACCCAAAGTATTTCAGGATCCTCGCTGGTGCTACAGAGCCTGTGCACTGTGCTGAGCTTCTTCGGACTCAGACTTCAGTTAGAAGAAGAACGGAGCACTAATGGGTCACTACCCGTGTGCCTTGATGTTGATCCATTGTTCAAACCTCAAACATCATTGAACTGTTCATTTCACTGCATCCAGCCATCACTTCATCTGCTTTATCATCAAGTAGCTCCCCACCCAGACAGCAGCAACAGCCAAACTATCAGCCTGCTTATTACCCCCCTACCCTCAATGTCCTGGACAGAAAACCCATCAGACATTCCTGATCTATGTCGTATCATGAGATGCAAGCCCCTCTATGCTTAGGATGCCAGTTTCAATTTTACAAAGCATGCTCTGTGAGATCATTACAGTCACAAACAACTTCTTGCCTGATTTTTTTTTCTTTTAAACATACGCAAAGTAAAGAAGCATGTAGGAGCACTTACTGCTTACTGAAACAGTAGTTTTAAAGTTTAATCCCCAGACGTGGGAGAATTTATTTTTCACTCCTAAGCTCTAGGGTTGACCCAGCATCATACTAAATGGGTACTAGGGAACTTCCAAAATGGTCTGGGAATTGTCTAGGAAGAAAAGGCAACAAAGAAAGAAACCAGTCATCCCACTTCATAGAATGTCGCCTTGAAAATATGAAATCCAAACCCTCCAGACCAAACTATACCCTCTGCAATGGGACAATCATTAGTTAATTGAAAAATAATTCTGAAGGTGCTAGCTTTATTTCATTAACGAATATTTTGTTTCTTTTTCTGAATTCCATGGTTTCTGGCCTCAGACCCCAAAAACGATAATTCACATCTGCTATATGTTGTAGATAGTGCATTGTATTCAAGAGATTAGGCAAGAAAAGTTTCTATAGCACTAGGAAATCTATGGAAGTCAAAGGAAATGAAAACCAGTATTAAAATATTTAGTTCTAATATCAACTCACTACTGCTGTATGGAGCTAAATTATGGAGAACAACTAAAACAACTGCTAATAAACTACAAATATGACATAACTGGCGCCTGTGCAGATAAGAGGGAATTAAATGGTATGATACAATTACTAATATTGAGCTTTGGGAGAGAACAAAGCAAATTAATATTTGGGAGAGAACAAAGCAAATTAATATTTGGGAGAGAACAAAGCAAATTAATATTTGGGAGAGAACAAAGCAAATTAATATTTGGGAGAGAACAAAGCAAATTAATATTTGGGAGAGAACAAAGCAAATTAATATTTGGGAGAGAACAAAGCAAATTAATATTTGGGAGAGAACAAAGCAAATTAATATTTGGGAGAGAACAAAGCAAATTAATATTTGGGAGAGAACAAAGCAAATTAATATTTGGGAGAGAACAAAGCAAATTAATATTTGGGAGAGAACAAAGCAAATTAATATTTGGGAGAGAACAAAGCAAATTAATATTTGGGAGAAACAAAGCAAGTTCCATTGAGTCAAGTGGTGAAGAAAAGAACGCTAGCATTAAAAAGCACATCGGGGAAAACCTGAGAACAATATAACTAGATGGATTCTGCAGTTGAACCCACAGGGGCATAGAAATGAAGGAACACCGAAAAACATCTGAAGAACAGAGCTAGAGAGTGAGATTTAAATGACAGGTGTGAGGTGCATGCAACAGCAAAGGATAGGACAACGCCGCATGAGTTGGTTGAGGGCCTATGCTCCACTAGGGGGGTTGGGGAAGGCAGAGGAAAAATAATTAGAGAATTCTAGAGATCAGTTCCAAGTATGGCTCTTTGTGGTCACTTGATAGAGGGGACAGGTTTGAGGCTGCTTCCAGAAATCTGAGGCAGAATATAGAGCAGTCTCTACTGGTGGGATACAGGCTACAGAAGAGTAGCTACAAGAAGTCAGAGTATATAGAGGAACTGCTACAGTAAGTTTAGAAGTGTGATAGACAATACAGAGAAGTTGCTATAATTAGTCAAGAAGTCAGATAGAGAATATAATATAATCATATAATAAGTCAAGAAGTTAGAGAATATACAGCAGTTGTTATAATATGTCAAGAAGTCAGGCAGAGAATACAGAGGAGTTGCTACAGTAGGTCTGTAAGTATGACAGAGAATACAGAACTCTTGCCACACAACTCTTGTTATTTTAACAGTAAGTAATAAACACTTTTCACACATTTAAAACCTACTTGTCAGGACCAGTCTTCCATGTTCCTCTTCGACCATCTTCTGATCTCCGGTTTATAACATTCATTAACTCCATACCTGCCAGGATATTGTGACAGCATTTGAAATCAGACCACAACACATAATATTTGTATCACCTCACTTACTTGCATCCTTTGTGTTTAATTTTTTTCTTAAATATCCACTGCTGATTTCATGCTTGATTGGTTGATGAATCTTCTGGAATATTGAGATGTAACTCTTAAGTCTGATGAATTGGTTTTAACCCTTTCACCTGAGAAGCCGCAAAACTGGCGGTTGGTACGATTTCCCCATAAAAGCCGCTTTCCCGACTCGCTATAGGCACATTTTTATGAGTAGTTAATTACATCTGCATAAAGTTCAGCGTGACAAGGGAGACTAAATTTACTAAAAATAACAGTTGGGGGAGGGATGGAGGGGGGGTTCTGTCAAGAACATGGCTTTATTTAAAGAAATCTCTACATTGTTTCCCCCCACTGGCTACATAGCAACTAAATTACAGGACAAAGCAAGTGTCGTGCTAAAATTAGTTTACGGGCCACAAGAGACACAAGCCAGCTGATTCCACGCTGCATTTGTTTGTGTTGATTGCTCCCCTTAATATTTGTTGGTGTTTTGGATAATAAGTTGATTTAATGCTATTTTTTGGATGATAGATATCAAGTTGTAGATTTTTCTATGGCATTTTTCTGAAAATATCTGACAAAATGGAAATTACTGAGGCTCGGCTTTGTTTCGTTTTCAAGGTCACCAAAAGCGTTATGGCTTTTGAGCCCTGAAAATGACTTACATCTATCAGTGAGGCTAATGTAAAGACTTTCTTACCAACTTTGAACCAAAGTACTATTTCAGCAGGAACTGTGCTGTTGAGCAATGCAATGGTTGAGGCACACAGACAGTATGATAGCTATTAGAGAGACAATAACTGTCTTCTTGAAAGTATTCACTGGAGTAGATTACAAGTTATATGAATAAAACAGTGGAGGGGATAATATACAGGCAGACCTACAAACAGAGCTGTCAACAGGAAAGAGAAGGTCCATCATAATAGAGGCAGGCAATCAAATTGCTAAAAAAAAAAAAAAACAACAACAAGAAGAAGCAGAAGCAAAAGAAGAAGAAGAAGAAAAATGTATAAATAATATTATTTGAATTTATTTGTGTTAGGTAGTTGCGTATCCTTTACAGAACATTGCAGAACCAACTCCAGCATTTTGTGGTTTTTCTAGGCAAATTTTATGTTCAGTAGTTTGCCACTGCTTTCTGAAAAGTCAGCTCGCTGTACCACTGTCGAAACCAACACAAGACAAATTGTCTGCAGCTGGGATCAAACCCGACATCCTGGCATTATGAAGTGCGTTCGCAACATCTAAGCCACAGAATTTATTCATGACCTGTGTAAAATGGTTTTCTAAAAGATTGGGGTGGGGGGGGGGGGGGGGGGGGAGGAGGTGGGTATTCCCAAGTTCTGGGTCTCATTCCCGCAAGAGTTTCTGGGGTGAAAAGGTTAATGATACTGACAACTAATTAAAAAGATCACAGTTGTAGGTCAAACATACACGAGTAGTTTGATGTGTCTGTCTGAGTGGGACTGACACAAGACACTTTCATTCAAAGTTCTGTATCTAAAGAGACTGTGCTGCAAAGCTTTGTTTCCCCTCTCTCGGCTTAGAAACCAGCAGGATACAGTCAGTTATAAAGCTTCACATAATACACATCTACACACAAACCCACTCATAATAAACAACAGTGACTATTAAAAACATTATCTCCCTGTGTGGGTTTCATGTTGGCATTGTAACGGAAAACAAAGAACACATCCATTGCCCCCCTAACAAGCATGTCTTAAGAGTCGACTAATTGGGAGCATTTCCTTCAAAGTTGGAGTGCATTTTTCGTGAGGCGAGGAACCAACAGCCTGCCTACAAATATGCTAATCTGTCAAATTGATGCGCATACAAAACTCAAGTTTGAAACAAGAATGAAGTCCAGAAGTGGGCGAACAATCAGAACTTTTGACTGAAGAAGATTAATATTATCCCATCCACATGACTCACCAACTTTTCTGTCAGGCATTTTATCTGCTAACAGTTGATGCAATCTTTCCTTCAGTCTGCTGACTTCCTTTTCTTTCTTTTTGTGTTCATGTTTGTGCTGGAGATCCCTTGACTGAAGCACTGTGGTCAGCCTCTTGACCTGCAGGATGACCACAAGATAACCATGCAAACCAAAAGTCATGGTGTACACCAGTGATTCCCAAACTGCGCCGCGGCGCCCCAGCGAGCAGCGACCTCTTCACAGAGGAGCCGGGACCCCTTCACAGGGGAGCTGCGACCTCTTCACAGGGGAGCCGCGACCTCTTCACAGGGGCACCGCGAAATACTGCAAAAGCTTCATAATTAATTTAACCAAGACACAAATAGTCATACTTTTATTTAGATTAGGGCGCAGCGGAACAATTTTAATTGAAAAACGACCAAGAAAAGTTTGGGAAACACTGGTGTTTCCTATAAGTCTAATTCAAGGATAACAAAATCTTCCCTAAACTAGTCAAGTAAATGTAAAGGAACCTTTTCCACGCCTAAAGGTCTACTGTACATATAGTAAGTAAAGTAAAGTAAAGATTCCTTTTCCCACCTTTGGGCGTATCAGGTATATGGGAAGAGTGCCCATATTTTTACAGACCATCAGCACTCTGTGGGTAATGTGGTCAGCATTGCGCCAGCCGTCTTTACTTTCCCAGGACAGCCCATCCTGGCTAGACCTATATTTTTTTTTAGACCACTCTGCACTCCGTGGGTGATGTGGTCAAAATGATGCCAGCTGCCTTTACTTCCCAGGACTTTACCTGATACCTATTCAAGGCTAGGTCAACCTGGGAGACATAATCATTTAAGGGAAAAAAAAGTCTGGCTCTGTGCAGCTGTAAACCCACGACTTTAGGATCCACATGTGAGCTCTAATCACTACACAAGGTTTAGTATTCTAAACACTCTCTATCACTGCAAGGTTGCAGTATGGGAGAAAGACTAACAAAAACAATGTCACAGACAATAACCCACTGTTTGATTGTTGGTAATTTTGTTTAGACTTGTATTGTTGGTAATTTTGTTTAGACTTGTATTGTTGGTAATTGTGTTTAGACTTGTATTGTTGGTAATTGTGTTTAGACTTGTATTGTTGGTAATTTTGTTTAGACTTGTATTGTTGGTAATTTTGTTTAGACTTGTATTGTTAGTAATTTTATTTAGACTTGTATTGTTGGTAATTTTGTTTAGACTTGTATTGTTGGTAATTTTGTTTAGACTTGTATTGTTGGTAATTTTGTTTGGACTTGTATTGTTGGTAATTTTGTTTAGACTTGTATTGTTGGTAATTTTGTTTAGACTTGTATTGTTGGTAATTTTGTTCAGACATGTATTGTTGGTAATTTTGTTTAGACTTGTTGGTAATTTAGTTTAGACTTGTATTGTTGGTAATTGTGTTTAGACTTGTATTGTTGGTAATTTTGTTTAGACTTGTATTGTTGGTAATTTTGTTTAGACTTGTATTGTTGGTAATTGTGTTTAGACTTGTATTGTTGGTAATTTTGTTTAGACTTGTATTGTTGGTAATTTTGTTTAGACTTGTATTGTTGGTAATTTTGTTTAGACTTGTATTGTTGGTAATTTTGTTTGGACTTGTATTGTTGGTAATTTTGTTTCGACTTGTATTGTTGGTAATTTTGTTTCGACTTGTATTGTTGGTAATTGTTTTTAGATTTGTATTGTTGGTTATTTTGTTTAGACTTGTATTGTTGGTAATTTTTTTTTTAGACTTGTATTGCTGGTAATTTTGTTTTGACTTGTATTGTTGGTAATTGTTTTTAGATTTGAATTGTTGGTTATTTTGTTTAGACTTGAATTGTTGGTAATTTTTTTTAGACTTGTATTGTTGGTAATTTTGTTTCGACTTGTATTGTTGGTAATTTTGTTTAGACTTGTATTGTTAGTAATTTTATTTAGACTTGTATCGTTGGTAATTTTGTTTCGACTTGTATTGTTGGTAATTTTGTTTCGACTTGTATTGTTGGTAATTGTTTTTAGATTTGTATTGTTGGTTATTTTGTTTAGACTTGTATTGTTGGTAATTTTTTTTTTAGACTTGTATTGCTGGTAATTTTGTTTCGACTTGTATTGTTGGTAATTTTGTTTAGACTTGTATTGTTAGTAATTTTATTTAGAGTTGTATTGTTGGTTATTTTGTTTAGACTTGTATTGTTGGTTATTTTGTTTAGACTTGTATTGTTGGTAATTGTTTTTAGACATGTATTGTTGGTTATTTTGTTTAGACTTGTATTTTTGGTTATTGTTTTAAGACTTGTATTGTTGGTAATTTTGTTTAGACTTGTATTGTTGGTTATTTTTTTAAGACTTGTATTGTTGGTAATTTTGTTTAGACTTGTATTGTTGGTAATTTTGTTTATACTTGTATTGTTGGTTATTTTTTTTTTAAGACTTGTACTGTTGGTAATTTTGTTTAGACTTGTATTGTTAGTAATTTTATTTAGACTTGTATTGTTGGTAATTGTTTTTAGACTTGTACTGTTAGTTATTTTGTTTAGACTTGTATTGTTGGTTATTTTATTTAGACTTATATTGTTGGTTATTTTTTTTAGACTTGTATTGTTGGTAATTTTGTTTCGACTTGTATTGTTGGTAATTTTGTTTCGACTTGTATTGTTGGTAATTTTGTTCAGACTTGTATTGTTGGTTATTTTGTTTAGACTTGTATTTCTGTTTGCAATAAAGAATGAAATGTTTAAAGGTATAAAATTTAATGCTCTTAGACAGGCTGGGTGATTTTTATGAAACAAGTGAGGCAGACTTGATCAGACTGCAAGAATAAGACGTCAAAAGGGGTGAGTCAAACCAGATAAGAGCACTACACAGGAGTGCAAAGAATGTGGAATGTTGAATTAAGAATCTACATCACAGCACTCAGGACACTCCCATAAGTGCCCAGTTCCCATCTTCAGCAGCAAGCAAAGAGTTCCAATTCCATGGTACCAGTAACCGTCTGATTGTATATTCGTCTCATCCTTCCCCTGAGTGTTTAGCGTCGGCCAGATCCCCTGGATACTCCTCGCAGCGCCATTCTCCTTAGACTGTAATGATCTATCTGTGCCTCCGCACTGTTTACTTGCTCCCAAAGGGCTCTCACAATATCTAACTTGTCATACATCAATTCACCATCAAGTGGTGCAGAGCCAGCCAGTCTATCTGCCTGCTAATTTCCCAACACACCAGCATAACCTGGAAAAAATATCCAAAGGATACCAACTACCCAGTTGTCTGAAGTGATGCTTGCGAGTCTAAAGAAGAATGGTGAACCAATATAGATCTGATGTCATCAATCACTTCACACTGAGAGGTACATTGAGGAGAGGATTTGAGAACTTACAGACTGACAGATAAACGTGCTGTGTGTTTGATTGCTCAGGCCATTCTCACACAAGCTGTGTCGCCTACCTCAGTAGCTAATTAAACAAATAAACATGTACTGATCGGCACTCACAGAAAGAGGAGAAAGATTGTTTGGTTAACATGAATTTGTATAACCTATGGTGCTATTTCAATAGTCTGAGATGAATTCTGTCCATATTCAAACATTGTAGTTTCAAGTGTATGAAAGACATGGCTAATGAAGACATCTTTCTTTTTTGTAGGAGTGCCTTGCTGCTCATGGGTCTTAGTACCCTTGTTCCTTTAGCAAGGCACTGTCATCATGTGGCAGTGACATATTGAATTCCCAGCATGGTAACTACAACTTTCTACTTCCTTCTATGAACTGTGATCAATACATGTCTATTTGTTTAATATATATATTATCTTCTATGCCTTAAAAGGTTTCTAGTCTGTTTATTACTTTTTATTCAGTGGCTACAGAACAGTCTTCATTTTGACGGCACCACTAAAAACCTGAAAACAAGTCTGCCCATCTCTGTACAACAAAACAATATACAACTCCTCCTCGACTTATGACCTGTGCGACTTCTGACCATCCGTACTTACGGCCATATATACACACACGCTCGCACATACCACATATATCACACACACACACACCATACATACATACCCCACATAAAAGGTGAGTAAAGAAAGATTACCATACTGGTAGGGTGAAAACATGCAATAGAGTACACAATATGTATTTTCTTACAATATGTACAATAATAATATGTAGATAGATTGCATTTTTGTGTTTAAGATACAGTTTGTATAACCCGTTGAAATAGTATCCAAAATATAAATTTGACTTAACGACCAGTTTGACTTATGACCCGTTAGTCCGTATGGAACTCAATCATTGGTTCAGGAGATCATGTATACTTAGAACTGCACATTTAGGAGCAGAGGTAACATACTGGCTAAATGCTTGCACGTGGACCCAAAGGTCTAAGGTTCAAATCCACATTGTGGCAGATTTTTGCAACACTGACTATGGCTTCCAGGCCAACCCAGCCTAAAAACTGGTACCAGGTAATGTCCTGGGAAATAAAGGCAGCCAGGGTGATGTTAACCACATCAGCAAGCTAATTCCGATTGATTCATAAAAATGTAGGTCTAGCACTAGATTGTTTAATGCGCCAAAAACATGAAAATGTAGGTCTAGCACTAGATTGCTTAATGCGCCAAAAACATGAAAATGTAGGTCTGGCACTAGATTGCTTAATGCGCCAAAAACATGAAAATGTAGGTCTGGCACTAGATTGCTTAATACGCCAAAAACATGAAAATGTAGGTCTGGCACTAGATTGCTTAATGGGCCAAAAACATGAAAATGTAGGTCTGGCACTAGATTGCTTAATTCGCCAAAAACATGAAAATGTAGGTCTGGCACTAGATTGCTTAATGCGCCAAAAACATGAAAATGTAGGTCTAGCACTAGATTGCTTAATGCGCCAAAAACATGAAAATGTAGGTCTAGCACTAGATTGCTTAATGCGCCAAAAACATGAAAATGTAGGTCTAGCACTAGATTGCTTAATGCGCCAAAAACATGAAAATGTAGGTCTAGCACTAGATTGCTTAATGCGCCAAAAACATGAAAATGTAGGTCTAGCACTAGATTGCTTAATGCGCCAAAAACATGAAAATGGTCAATTTTTTGTTACTTATTACACATTTAGTTACTTTACCTCTTCTTTTTCAGATCTGAGCTTGTTACAAACTTGACTATATTTCAAGCTGATCTGTCGAGTCTTCTCTCGTTCCTGATCAAGTTCCCGGTCAGTCTGCTCTTGTAATCTTTTAAGACGTAGTGCGGATGACTGTTGGTGCTCTGTTTCACATATGAGCCTATGATTCCTAAAGTAACAGATAAGTATATATGTAAATAACTATTCAACAGGGGGTGACAGGTCTTGGTTCTATTTGACTGAGCTACCATATAGCAGTTGTCAGTACTACCTGTTCTTTGTTAATGCTGACTGTTGGGCGGTGTATATCAAGCCTGATGTCCCACATTGTGCCAATGGCTTCAGGCAGAGCAGCGCATTCACGAGGAGCAAATTATCCTAGGAAGATAAAATACAACCTGAAATCTTCATGTTATGGCAGGGCAATCCAGGCCCCAAGCCTTGATTGGCAGTTGGTCTAGGCTTTGTGCTATGCAGTGGAGGAGGCTGAACAGCATTAAAGTTCATCAAAACTGAATTTCAAGAAAGGAAACATTTTGCATAGATGCATAATTTGCAATAAGACAAGGTTGCTAGAAAAACCATTTAATAAAAAGTTGAACGATATTATGTCTGTAGATTGAGAAAAAGTTTTTGATAGAGCAGATAGAAACAAACTATAGGCTATTTTTGAGAATGATGGGATACAAGGATAACCGCTAGATAACATCGTGGCCCATGTACCATACTTTCCAAAGTGCCCTGAGAACACAAGAAGGCATGTCTGATATGTTTACTATCAATACAGAGGTGAGGCAGGAATGTGTGCTCTCTCTCTCTCTCTCTCTCTCTCTCTCTCTCCTCTCTTATTAGTATATACATAGACAGAATACAAAAGAAGCCAGCTTTTAAGCAGTCGACGCATAAAATTTAGAAAATTAGGAACTTTGTAGAGGAAAAACTGGAGTCATGGTGTCCGCCTTGAGTGCTAGAGGTTCAGGGTTCAATCCCTGGAAAGGGCTGGAATTTTTTGTATGTGGACTTGAACTTCTAGTAATTCCCCCATGGTCTCTGGGTAGTCAGATCAGACGCCCGTGTGCATTGTTGAGCACATAAAAAATCCCTTGGCAGTTGGAAATAAAAAAGAGTGGCCTAACAGGACTCAAACTTGAGTTAGAAGAAGAACAGAGCACTTATGGGTTACTATCCGTGTTCCATGATGTTGATCCGTTGTTCAAACTTCAAACAATAAACGATCTGCAATTCACAGATAATCAGTGCCTGTTTTATGCTGAGGGGAGTAGACTGCAAGACCATTAGAACAGGCAAATTTAAACATGCAGAAGATATAACATGAAAGTAAATGCGACTAAAACTGAAGTCATGCAAGTCAGTAGAATTCCTAGTCCACTACGTATAGGATTGAATGGTACTTGTCTGAAGCAAGTTACAGAATTTAAATATCTAGGAAGTATGTGCTTGGATGACTGGAAAACACATTAGGAAATAGAAACAAGATGCCAATAAGCCAATGCACTTATATACCAAATGACACCATTATTAAGACATCCAAACAAAAGTATGGGTGCCAAAAAATAGATTATAAACAGTGTATCCACATGAACACTTGGACATCTTCAAAGGCTAAAATTAACAGCTGTGAAATAAGATGCCTCAGAAAGGCCACCAACTTAATCATCCAAGACAAAGCTAGAAATTATATTATCAGACAGACTGTAGGAACAACACCATGCAGCAAATTCACTGAGAAACAGAAGATCAAATGGTTTGGTCATCTATTAAGAATGCAACTAGAACAACTACCAATGCAGGCACTAAATATGAAAAGATCTGATGTGAAAGCAAGAGGCCACCCTAGGAGATTATGGACTGATAACAATAAAGAGTTCTACATGGACAGGGTGAAACTATGGGGGGTGACTGCAGTCAAGCTAATACAAGGAATTCCAGAGAAATTTGACTAAAAAGCTCAACAAAATGGAAAAGAGGAAAACGTCCACAAAACAACACAATGTAACGTTTCGGCCGGCATGTTTGAAAAAAGCTGCCCGGCCGAAACGTTATGTTGTGTTGTTTTGTGTAAGTTTTTTCTTTCCCATTTTGTTGAGCTTTTTAGCCAAATTTCTCTGGAATTCCTTACATGGACAGGGAATGACAACAGCCATTGCTGCCTATCAAGCAATGGATCGCAAACTTTTTCTCCTCATGATGCTTAATGGCAGAAGTGGAAACTGATGATGATGATCAACATATCATTGTTGGTGTCTGCTGGAGGGAAGAATTTTAATAAGATCTGGGTCAACAAATGCTTCCTGCCCAACTTGTCCCTCTATAATGTAAGGACTCATCATCATCATCATCATCTTTCGAGGCCTCATTTTGGGGGATCCAGACTCACTGCCCCCTAAAAGCATATCATTAAAAAGTGACTAATCAGGAGTGTTTCCTTTAAATTCAGAGTGCATCTGCCTGAGATGCAATAAACCAACAGTCTGCATACAAATAAACCAGGTCTGTAAAACGGATGTACACACAGAACTCAAGTTTTGGAACAAGACTGAAGTCTAGAAGTGGATGAGCAACCAGAACTTTCTGCCAGAGCTTACAGCCAGTGAAAGCAAAGAAGAAGAATATCTAACATTCAAGAATGTCATTTTGAAAAACTAATGAAATATTTTTAACTACAATAACAGAAAACTCTAAATAAATTAGTATACTAAGTAAAGGACCTTTTACCATGCTTTCAGGCGTATTGGGCATATGTTCTGGTAGACCTGTATTTTAAAGATCAATCTGCACTTGCTGGTGATCTGGTCAATATCACGTCGGCCTCCTTTACTTCCCAGGACTTCAACTGGCACCCCTTAACGGCTGGGTCGACCTGGTAGGAAAGGACATTTTTAAAACTTCGTTTGGATTTTAACCAATAACTTTCAGATCAGATCAGCAGGCGAGCATCTAGCCGCTACACCATGATGGCTCCCTTTCATAACAAATGACAAGCAAGAAATACAAACCTGACTTCTAGATCATTCTTCACTGTAGCAGTCTTGTGGTAGAGTGAAAGTAAGTCGTACATTCGGTTCACAATGAACACGGTGCCAGAGGTACACTTAGAGCCATCAAACTTCAGACATTCCAGTCCCAGTAACTCCAGTTCCTTTAAAACATGATTGATAATCAGATAAATCATCAGTACAATGTCACTGCTGACGAACCACAACTGGCAAAAAGCGCCACCTTTGAGGCATAGAAACATCAACATGCACACACAAAAGCAGCTGATCCATAAGCTATTTGTACCAACTTAGTGTTAACAATGCCAGACATGGAAAAAAAAAAGAAAAAAAGAAAAAGCTGAGTTGAGTCAAGAATTAACATCACAGCACTTGGGGCATTTCCAGGCATGCTTCATTCTCATCTTCGGCAGCCAGCGCAGAGTTCCAATACTGACTGTACCAGTCACAGTCTGGTTATATGTCTGTCTTGCCTTTCCTCTGAGTGTAGTGAGCCGGCCAGACCCTCTGGTTACACCCAGGTGCCTCATTCTCTCCAGGCCATAATAATCTTGTTTCTCTACTGATTCCGTTGTTTTTTTCCAAAGGGTGTTGACCACATCTGTCTTGTCATGTATAAATTCACCAACCAGTGGTGCAGATCCAGCCAATCTATCTGCCTGTTCATTACCTACTACGCAAAAAAAAAAAAAAAAAAAAAAAAAAGATGAAGAACTAAAGAAACAGTTTTAGTAGAAGCATAGGTCTTACGCATCTGGCTAATTTTTATGCAGATTCTTGATTCCCTGCCGGAGACCAATCTTCAGTATGTTTATTGTACTTGTGATAATTGAATTAATCAAAAATTAACATCACTACATTGGGACATTCCCATATGTGCTCAGTCCCCTTCTTCATATGCCAGCAAAGAGTTCCAATACTGATGGTGCCAGCTGCCACTTGCAAATGAGTGCTATATCTTTTACAGCACCACAGTCAGAGAAACTGTCAGATAAACATTAAACAAAAATTCCAAACAATATTTTCCCATTGTAAATTAAAATGATGCAGACATAAGAAATAAATGCACAATTTATTGCCTGGCATATTTCATGGTGTCTCATCAGATGCATTACTGCAGGGACATCAACATAAAACAAAGCACAAAAATGAATCTTTTTCGCTGAAATAACAAAAAAGTAAAAAATCACATCGTTAAGTTAGGCTGTACATCTCTTCAGTGGAAATTAAAGATACAGCCTCAGCTGGTTTTAGTAAACATCTTGTCAATGTGTAGTAAATAATTCTGGTCACAATCCTTATCAACTACGTACCTGCAGTCAAGCAAATGACGTCCTAAAAAAAAACACAGATTTTTTTAATGAGTTACATACCTGATTAATATAAGCGATAGAGTTGAGCAGATTCTGTCTGTTGCAAAACTCTTCTTTTAAACCACTAGCTAAAACTTGTGCATCTTCAAGTTGTGGAATAGGTATAAAATAGGCCTCTTCAAAGACATTAAAATCTGCTTCTATTCTGCCAGGCCTCGTCGGATCTAGCACTCTTGCTGTGGGGTACTGTAAAATGTCAGTGTCCTGGGCATGGAAGCTGTAGGGATTTGACACTGCCATTGTTCCAGAAATCTGAAATACAGAAAATATATAAACAACAGTAACGCAAAATATCACAAGTACATCATATCTAGCCTCATTCTAGCATCTGTTAGTTTAGTCCTAACTGAAATTAGATAATCTGCCAAAATATGGTGATCTAATGGTCTCTGTTAATTATTAGTAAGCTGACAGATTATCCTCATTTTACACTGAATCATTGTCGGTAAATGACTGGATATCTTCCTCAGTTGATCTATTAGTATCTAACAGTTTATGACACCAGTTCTGTATTGCTTCACTATTCTTCTTTGGCCTCCTTTATAGTAATATTCTCTGCCGTTACATTTGCCTTGATGTTTTTGTAGTCCGGTTGCCAACTGAGAGTCTTCATCTGATTCTTTTAATCACCCTGTCTCTGTCTCATCCCATTTGAATTGAGGTTACCTTAAGGGAGTTGTGGCAGTTTAGCAAATGTTGCTGTGTTCTATCAACAAATATTGATTTAATGTTTTGGCATCTCTTTCTATTGTCAGCCTTGGGTCAAATCAACAATACAATGTTAAATAGTTGAACAATATTAAAAGGCATAACTATAAAAACACTACTGCATGGGAAAGTTAAGGCAGGTGAGCTAGAGTTAAAACAGCGACACAAGAGGGAATGTAACATCAAGTTATGAACAAGCATCACCTTTTAGAGTAGTGGACTTTAACCTAGATGTTCCCGTACATAAAGTTTGCAATGAACATGATGCCAGAGGTACACTTTGCGCCGTCAAACTTCAGGCAAACTTCGAAGTCAGAGTACATCTGCCCGAGGGGCAATGAACCACAAGTCTGCATACAAAAAAGCCAGGTCTGTGAAACAGATGTGCACGCAGCACTCAGGTTCTGAAACAAGACCACAAGTCTGGAGGTATATGAACACCCAGAACTTTCTGCTGGAATTTACAGCCGGTGAATGCAAAGAAGAAGACCCTAGAGGTGGAGTCCAGGAAGTTTAAAGGGTGTAACAAGCAATTTCAATATAGTACTAACATTTTTTTCAGTTTAATTTTAAAATATTAACAGTCATAAAAACAAAACACAACTGCCATCTTGATATGCGGAGTGACCTCCATTGTGTCTTGTCCAACACCAGACCAAAAATATCAGAGATCATCAAGACAAAATAATGTCAACTATTACACTGATATTTGGACACTAAATTACTAGTTGTTAGTGATTGTTTATCTGATCTTATTTGACACTTCAATTTATGTGGTTCCGTTTAAGTGGTTGAGATTTTTCTTTTTGACCGCCTCTTTTTAATCACATATAAAGGGAAGTCTGTGGATATTGCCAAATATTCTGGGTGGCACCACCTGACAGAAGGCTGCAAAACTACTGTTTTAAAGGGTGAGGATAGAAAGAAAAGTTCGAGAATAATAAAGACAAGTTTCACTGTGGAGACCTCGGAAATTGTTTATTTAATTTTTTTCCTCCAGGATTATTTTTGTGAAGATTAACACTCTGTGACTAAAGAGTCACTATATTCAGAAAAGAATCTAACAGGGGTATATTACAGAAACCCCATTCTGCGGTATACGTTACTTTATTTTTAATTCTTTCTCATCCAGGAATCCAGTCTGTAGGATTAACATTTAATAGATAAGAAACGAGGGAGAGAAAATCCAGTTTAACTGTACAGCAGTTGTTTATGGGGAAACCTGGCGGTTGCGAAATAACCACCAGCAGTCAAATGTGGGTGAGTTAGAGCATCATTAATAATTTTGATAGATTCAATTCAATCACATTATTGTAAACCATAATTACATAAATTAACTACAGCAAACTTGTTTACTAAGACACAAGGTTAAAGAAACAATGATATTTTAAAGAAAATAACTACATATAATTGATTAATTCAGTTATGTAAGATAACATACTCACTCGCCTGGAAATTGAGAACATTATAATCTCCAAGTAAAAACATATCTGTTGGGTTACTTGTTGTCTTTAACGACATCTCAGGGTCTCCAGGCGTGGAGTGGCAAATCTTCTTTCCTTGCCGTCCATCTGGTTTCTGCATGTTTGCCCTCATTTAACACCAACTTTCAAAAGGTGGTTTACTATCTCTGACTCTTTTGTCTCAACATCTCAGTGTGTCTGCTATGTCAGTATTTCTTCCTCCACTAATTGGCTGCAAACACATCCAATCTGTCGGCTCTTTTATTTCCTTTCAGCCTAGCATATCCTGGTGTGTACATCAATATAGTTCATTGAGATAGGGCTTCTGGATGCTGTCAACTCATTCTTGTCATGAGTCTGTCAGTCAGGATCTGCTTAAGCATGCTCAATGAGTCTGTCACTGTCACTGCATTAATTGAAGATGGCCGGCCCATGGATCACGCAGACATTGTCATCGCCCTTAGAGAGATAGGACGTTCTGAGGATTTCGGAAGCAACGTGTCCACATCACTTCTAAGAATACGCGAATTGGGAGTAAAGATCGGCACAGCCAAGCATGAGAAGCACACTGGACGCACAAGAAGTCTTGTTAACCAACATGGGACTGGTGCTATTAACCACACGACGCTGATGAATATGTTGAGAGGGGAATCTGAGCACCTACAGATGTGTCCGGAGTGCTGTGAGATAATCTAACTCATAACTCATAATTCATAACTGTCAGTGAGTGTGTAGCCTAAGTTGTAAGTTACTTCTGTTTGACCAGCAATCTAAATGCCCCTTGTGACAGCTGCTATCTCTATCATCACCCTAGAAGTAGTTGAACTGAACACCTGACTTTCTTCTTTGACTGTCTTCCCATTCACCTGCCCTGTGTATGCCCATCCAGACCACACCCCACAAATCAGTGAACCATCTGTACGGATGATGATGTCACATGTTCATGGATGCTTGTGAATGAGGGCCTTTATTTCAGCATCAGTGATGTTTAGCTCTATTTTCTGCAATGCCTGCCAAGGGTGATTATTACCTCAATGTGTCTTTGCATTCCTTCTGGTGTTTCTATCCATTTAGCACCAAGCCTGACATGTTCCAGTGAGCTTATTTGGTTCTGCTATTATCACATCCACTACTAATACCACAACAACCACTACTACTGCTGCTGCTACTACCACTATCACTACTATGGCTATTACTACTGCCACTACTCCTATTACTACCATTATCAATACTACTATAACCATTACTGTAACTACTACTACCACCACCACTACACTAAATTGGTCTATTCTGCTTGTGGTGGTCGTGGAAGCAGTGGTGGTGGTGGTAGTAGTGGTGGTAGTGATGGCAGTAGTTGTGGTAGTGGCATAAGAAAGGGTGTGGTGGGGTCGGCGGGAGAGGGGGGGGGTGCAAGCTACCCCAGGTGTCATCCCCATGTGGTGAGGGAGGGGACGAAGTGGCCAAAATGTGATTTTAACATTGCAAATGTGTGTGTGTGTGTGTGTGTGTGTGTGTGTGTGTACGCGACTGAGTGGAGGTAGTGTGATCGGAAATTTCCCGCACTGGGCACCACCTGACTTTGATATGCCAATGCCTCCAGGCAGCAGTGCAAACGGTGTTTTATGTTTTCAGAAAGTGTTGCTACTAACTAGGTAGTAGTACTACTAGTAGTAGTACTACTACTCACTAACTAGGCCTGCGCTCCCGCCCGAACCAACTTTTCTAGTTTTGACCATGTCGGGTGCCCTAATACATCTGTTTTATACGGTTGAGTATGAGTTCCTGGATCTGTGCCTGTTTGATTCTCATCCTTGAGCTGTTAATCCTGAATAAAACATTCCTGGAGGAGAAAAATTACTTACCTACAAAGAACAGGTACATAGTTGGTCCGTTAACATAGCCAATTCATTCACATGTACAAGAGTAGCATCCCTTAAAGCTAGTTATGTTGCTATAGGAGCTCTTCATTCGGGAGGTGATGGATACCAGGGCTGCCGAAGTTGGTAAAGTAACTAGAAGTAAAGAACCATTTTCACGCCTTATGCGCATCGGGAAAATGGGAAGAGCGTCCCATATTTTTACAGACCAATCGGCTCATGGTGGGTAATGTTATCAGCATTACGGTGGCAGTCTTTACTTCCCCAGGACAGCCATCCTACCGAAGTTGGTACCTTGGTACAAATGTGACCCTTGCAGAGCAAAACTATTTTTGGAACCACGCCCGGTGATTTGGGCCATTCAAAACTGCCAATACTACATGTATTTACCCTGTATTTGTATTTACACTTCTGCTGTGTGGGCAAGGAGTCTGGTGATTTAGAGCCGCACGGCTGTCGTCACGGACTGTTTGTTAAGATTCCTTACCTCTCCCAGCAAAGACTGGATCTGGCCCAAGGGAGCCACATTGCAAGAGAAGCTAGGGGGACTGGTGGCGACCTTAAACGCACAATCCTATTTGTGACCCAGACGGGACTCAATGTTTAGCATGACTGATGTCGAACGTAGAAAAGAAGAAGATGTAAAGATTCGGATTTTATTTTTGCTCCCGACCTAAAAAAAAAAAAAAACATCCTCAATCTTACTCAGGATTCGAACCCGATTCTCCAGCTTGAGAGCCACATTCTAACCGTTCGGCCAGCCACTCCTCAGAAATTGTGTATCATGGTGTTGTATTTTCACATTGCGTTGAACCTTTTTAAAAAATCATCATCATTATCAATTTGAATTGGCCAAGCCAACCGCTACCTAGGGAGCTAACCTCTACTAGATAGCATTGGTTATAATTGTGGCTCCTGTTCATGCTCTTATTTCATTGTGCGTTACAATCTAGTATCCAAGAAAGGTTGCTGGATACCCACACCAGATTTTCTCCCCAAGACTCACTTCATCGCCTCTCTAGAGAGGGACAGTCTATTATATTCAGACTAAGGTCAGGGCACAACAGATTTCGTCAACATATGTTCAAATTTTTTGGTGTAGGAAATACGGAGACGTGACCCTGCAGCGTGGCACCCGAAAATGCTGAGCATGTGCTCCAACACTGTCAACTGTATGCTGACAACAGAGACG